ACTTGTGCCTTTTGAGAGTTTTCATAAATGCAGTGGGCCCTGTAGCCAGCCTTACAGTACCATCCAGAAGAGTTTAACCACTCTAAAGAACCTATATGCTTTTCTTGTTTACCCCTCTCCCAGTGTCACACCTTAGAGCACGAAGATCTACTAATCTTCACTGTTTCTAGTTTTGCCTCTTTCCAGAGTAGTCTATAATTAAGATCATGGAGGATACCATTTGTTACTTGACAGCATGTGTCTGAGGTTTTCCTCCATGTGTCGCTGAGGCTTTGATCGCTTTTACTTTTTGTTTCAATACTAAATATGAGATCTTTTCTTTTATCATTGTCTTTGTTGGCTTGTTTTGTTTTTTTTTGAAGTATGGTATCATTGTGTAGCCTTGGCTGTGAACCTCTTGCTGTAGCTTCCAATAGCTAGGATTGCACGCATGGGCAACCACAACTGATACTGAATGTGTATGTGTGTGTGTGTGTGTGTGTGTGTGTGTGTATGTATGTATGTCTTTACTAGGGATTGAATCCAGGACCTCATACATGTTCAGCAAACACTGTCACCAAGCTACCTTTCTAACCCATAATGCTAAATCATATGGGAATAGAAACTATGTAAGCTATCCAGTGCAGAATGGCACAGCATCTTCTGTGTGGTCACTGATTGGACAGTGTCCATCATACCCAAACATGGGCCTCCTGATGGGATCTTCCCATTGGAGAGTTCTGGGAGCCATGCCCTGACCTGTGATTTAGGGTTTGTGCTTGATGCTATCCCAGTGCAAGGATCTGGGTTTTCTGAGCAGTCCCAAAATGCTTCCACAAAAGGCTAAGTCATGTGGACTAGATACTTTAAATAGAATGCTCCCATGTCCTTTCACACTTTACTGAAGAGTTTTTATTAATGATTTTTAAACACTGAAATCAGTAGCTCACTCTCAGCCTCTTCATCCTCACTATGGAGTTCTCTGTTTTGTTTCGCGTTAGGAACATAGTCCTACAGATCCTTCAGAGGAAAAGAGCAGGTAAAAAAAGATTTTGTAATTTCACTCCACAGGCAATCAGGAGCTCCAAGCTCAATAATTTGACCCAAAGCAAGACGTACTCACTAAAAGTAGCTTCAGAGAAACTGATGGCTTATAGCTCTAGAAGGAGGTAGAGGAAGGAGGAGATGGTGCTAACTTGGGGGCAGAGAGGAACACGCTTGGTAAAGCAGATACCCTACACATTTGTGAAAACAGAGAGTCTCAGGAAGGAAGAAGAAACGTGTTTAAACAACAGACGTTCTCTCTTCCTTCTGCCCTGCTTTTGGTGAAATGTCCATATGTGTGTGTATGGATGCAGTACTAATCTAAGATTGAAATATGCAATCAAACAGCAGAGCTATCTATGTGTGTATAGTGTTTAGATACACTCCTTGTGGACTAACTCTTACCGGGATTTTATGGTGTTTCTCACATTGAAGTGCTAAGTGCAATATTAAAAGCTAGTCCTTAACAGTGATGTGAATGCACAGTTATGAACCAGGAAGTGAGGTCTCACTGCCTCCAAGTCTGGCTTTCTCCATCCAGATGGACAACTGGAAGAGATAATTTCAGTGGAGTGAGTACAGGAGGGAAGTTGTCGTGTATGTCTCAAGTGGAACAGTAGGAAAAGGAGAGGAGGAGGGGGAGGTGGGAGGTGATAGGCCCTTAAAAATGACAGATACTCCTTCCAAGAGGCTTGCTGTCTTTAGAGGCTTAATCGAGACCATCCTGGAAAATGTTTGCATCCCTGATGGAAAAAGGAAGGGAGGGAGGAAAAGAAACATTAAAACATAATCCCATGAAATTATGATCCCCTTAATAGCTGGCAGAGGAACCCTGAGGGAGATAGCGATGGGCCAGCCCATTAAGCTATTTATGGGGCAGACATAGGCCCTAGAAGAAGGACTGTTGTGATAGCAGTGATTTAAAATTAAAAAAATAAAATAAGAATATAATAATAAACTAATTAAAGTGTTTTCAACATTGTCTTAAACAGTGCTCTCTGCTTGTCACCTCTACCATTGCAGGGTTTTTCCATTTAGAAGTCAAATCATCTCTTAGAATTTTACTGAGTATCTCTTATATCTGAAAGCATCCTAGACTCTGGGAATAGCAGTGTAAGTTTACAGAATACTTTAGAAACTCTAGGAATAAAGTACTCTAGGAACAAAGATAGTGTATCAAAATATAAGTGTTCTGAGGAGGATACAATGTTTACCAGAAGGAAGTTAGGAGTGGATGGGGCACTGTCTGAAACAGGATGTCAGGAAGGCTGTCTCAGGTGCACAGACTGGGCAGGAGGCAAGTGTCTTTAGAGTTAAAGATACACACACAGACACACACACACATGTTCCTGTGTGTAGTGTGGAGCAGTGTCAGGTGAGTCCTGTGAAGCTTGTTCTGGTGACATTTTTCTCCAAGTGACATGCTGGGCTTGGCCAAAACGCAGGTGGTGAACATCATGCGAAACTGTCTAGATGTTATGGAAGAGAATCCAGTAAAGTCTGTCTGGGATTGGGATGTGGGTATTGGAAAGAAGGAAGAGTAGACACTGTGATTTCCAGGGTTTGGAGCTGAACGACTTGAAGAATAGGGATTGGGGAGAGAGCAAGGGAGCCACTGTCAGGAGGTCTGTCTCTCTCAGAGACATCTGAATTCATGTATATTCAGATAACAGGTAGCCAATATCTAACCTGTAAAGCCCTGAAAAGATACTGGTCTCCAGAAGATGAGGACCTCTGTCTTATACAAGTCCCTTTTCATGGTCTTGCTTAGTTGAAACTGCTGTCTGTCACTGGAATGGTAAGTCACCTCTTCACCATATTGTAATGTCCTGTAGGTAAAATTCAGGAGGGTATAAAAGAAAGAGAATGTTTGGGAGGAGGGGCCTGGGATTTAATCCTAATTCCATTGGCTAATAACTATGATATTAGGAAGATGATTTTACTTATTCCTTTAGAAAGCTGAAATGGCATTATTTGTTTCACTAGTGTGCTATAAGCATTAAAAAAAAAAAACAAAACCTTTGCGAGTCAGAGCATTTGACAAATGGTAGGCACTCAGAAAGAAAATGGAACAGAATGCCTTTTACCTATTCCTTGTCAATCTCAGACATGTAAACAATGCGTGTTGAACATTTCCATGCCCAACACATTCCGGTCTACCTTGTCTCTCTTTTATTCTTTTAGTAACTCACTAAGTCCAATTAATACTGACAGTTGCATTGACTGGCTCTTATGCATTGATCATAGCTGATATGAATGTGTAGGTACAATGGCCATGTCCTGTCCCAAAGACAGCACGTTATAGCACCCCTCCCATCTCCCAGCTCTTACAGTCTCTCTGCCCGTCCACTTCTGGGATGGTCCCAGAGCCTTGGCAGGGGGTTGATATGAATGTCCTATTTAAGGCCAAGCACTCCATAGACACTTCCTCTCAGCGTGTTAACGAGTTTAATGAGTCTCCACATTAACTGCTAGCCACTTCGGAGAGAGCAGAAAAATTTTAGCAGCCTTAATGTGATTAAAATAGCCCAGAGCAATGAGATTTCCCTGTAAGGAACATGGGCTGTGATTTTTTTTTTTCTTTCTAAACCATCCTTCTGTGTTCTGTGGATCCAGTAAAGAAAGGAAGTTCAGTAACTCAAGAAGCCTGCAGAGTGGGATGAACCCAGGGGCGGAGCATGAGACGTTAGCACGCTAAACAACCTGGTGGCTGGACCGTATCTGTCCCCTCACAACAGCCCTCCAATACTGCCCATCCTTCAGGGTCCCAAGAAAGACCTCCCTCCTGGTCCTAGCCCTTATAGATGATGCCCTCCTTAAGTTCATTGAACACTTAAAGTTCATTGGTTCCAAGCATTATTCTCATTGAGATAGGAATCCAGTGGCAAACAGGTTCACGGTTTTCTTCACAGAGCTTACTTAGCATCTTGGTCTGACCGAGATGTAGCATGACTATAGCCAGCCTTTTAAGTTACCTACAGAGCCTCACAGGCGACCAATAAGTGGTTTTCCCAGACCCCCTACACACCTGGTATTTGGTAAAATGTTCTGAATGATGAAAGGACTTTCCATTTGTCTCAGAAGCTTCTGCCCAGGGTCTGCATGTGATAAGTACAGCTGTGGCTGCAGTTAGTACCCTAAGTCCAGAGTATTGCTATAAGGGTGAGAGGCTGGTAAACAAACTCAGTTTTTTCTTCTTACCCAGCCCACGTGTATCCGTGTTAAATAAAACACTCATGGGGACCTAGAGAGATAGCTCTGCTGGTAAAGTACTTTCCATGCAAATAGAAGGATTTGATCCCCAGAACTATGTTTAAAAAGCCGAGTGTGGAGGTACACACTTGTAATCTCCGCACCCACTGGGGAGGCAGAGATAGAATCCTCCAGGCTTGCTGGCCACCACCCTCACCTACTTGATGATCTCCAGGCCATTAAGAGATCCTACTTAAAAGGGGGCCGGGGGAGGGATGGCGGCAATCACAGTATCCTGTCTAGAAGCTAGCATTTCTTAGAGCTTCTCCCAGCCTCTGTCTCTTATGTACTCTTATGTACCCCCCCCCACACACACACACACAGCCTAGCTGTCCCTAGCATGAGGCCTCCTGAGCCTTTGGGAGGGAGGTTAATACAGCTGTCTTGTTTAGGGCTGAGTACTTAGTCCTTAGCCTCAACACTTTGACCTTTATGTTGTTGGTAGTAGGGGTGTGGTCACTGTTAAGTTTCCTGTGTTCCAATGGATAGCCCCACACCTTTGCCCATAAAGACAGCAAGTACCATGTGGTTTTAGTGGGTTATCCAATATGGGGGAGGGGGGAGAGTAGTTGTCTGAAGAACTCATACCCAAGGTTGGAGCCTCTGTGTGCATACACGATTTTATGTGCCCACACACAAATGTGCGTGCACATGCTAAAAAACACATATGAACTGTTTCCTCATGTTTCCTTCCTTTTTTCTTCCCTCTGCTTTTGTTTCCACAGGTCAGTGTTGAAGTTTTGGTAGAGTATCCTTTTTTTGTATTTGGACAGGGCTGGTCATCCTGCTGTCCTGAGCGGACCAGCCAGCTCTTTGATCTGCCGTGTTCCAAACTCTCCGTTGGGGACGTCTGCATCTCGCTCACCCTCAAGAACCTGAAGAATGGCTCTGTTAAAAAGGGCCAGCCTGTGGACCCTGCCAGTGTCCTGCTGAAGCACGCAAAGACCGACAGCCTGGCTGGCAGCAGACACAGATACGCCGAGCAGGAAAACGGAATCAACCAGGGAAGCGCCCAGGTGCTCTCTGAGAACGGCGAACTGAAGTTTCCAGAAAAAATCGGATTGCCTGCAGCATCCTTCCTCACCAAAATAGAACCGAGCAAGCCCACAGCCACGAGGAAGAGGAGGTGGTCAGCCCCGGAAACCCGGAAACTGGAGAAGTCGGAGGACGAGCCACCTTTGACTCTTCCCAAGCCTTCGCTCATTCCTCAGGAGGTTAAGATCTGCATCGAAGGCCGATCTAACGTGGGCAAGTAGAGACCGTGTGGGCAGCTGAGGCCTGGGCCTGGGCCTCCTTTGCTGTCTGTATCCAGATTACTGTACTGTAGGCTAAATAACACAGTATTTACATGTTATCCTCTCTAGGTTTGTATTCTAACCTTGTCATTAGAGTCAAACAGGTGTGTGGCAGGAGACTGGTGCGTTTGCATTGTCTGCAAGTGTCTGCTGAGGAGCTGGCAGGGGGTGTGTTGTGGGGGGGTTAAGTGGTTAGAACTGTGGCCGTGGAGCTCCAGGCCATCCTAGGTGGCCCTTGAATGTGGCTTCATCAGCACCTGCCTTCTCCAGCAGCACAGAGTCGAGGGGCATCAGTTCCCACTGGTTTCAAGAGCAATTTCAGTGGGAAGTAACCAGCAAGAGTGTGTCTGGGTGCATCCCTTGTGGAGGGGTGCGTGGGTACGATGGCAGTGAGCGAGGGTCTCTCTTTCTCTGCCTCCATCTCCCTCACTCTCATCATGGAATTGGGGGACCTGGGTTTCCTACATGCAAAGTCATCAGGAGCCCAGCTTCCAGGCATTGTAGAGAGGCAGCAGGCAGCAGATGGGAAACTAGTTTCAAAGAACGTGGTTCTCTCCAACATATTTTACAATAAAAAAGCAACTTTTAATCATAGATATATATAGATATATATATTTCCCCCCATGGGGCCTGACTGCACTGAGGATTTTTTTTGTTTTGTTTTGTTGTTTTTTTTGTTTTTTTTTTTTTTTAAGTCAGCTGCCACTTGCGGGATTTCATTTCTGCTTTACCAGTCCAGTGACATCGCCAGGTGTCACGGTGGGCAGGGAAAGTCCTTGCTCAGGTCACTCCTGGACAGGCAGGTAGCGGTGGGGCTGGGGGACAGAGGGAGCACCCACACTGTTTTCTGTGCAGTGTTAGGAAAACCAATCAGGTTATTTGCATTGACTTTTGCTCCCAAGAGGAAAAATGCAAGCCTCTCCTCCCCACCATCCCTTGAGAGCCAGGCGGCTCTCAGAGCTGAGCTGGCAGCATCTTTTCTATCTTTTAGGTCTAGTACTGTTCATGACTATGGACAACTTGGGTGCCGCTTCTTTTTTTCCTTAATCCCAGTGTGACATGCGGAATTAGATCTGGAAGATGCTCGTCTGTTACTACCTTGTAAACAGTTAAAAAAAAAAATGTCGTGCAGGCTTCTTAACCAAGCATCTTGGTCTGTCATTCAAAAAGTACTGTATCTCACTTTCGACTCTTTGGGAAAAAAAGACAAACCTAAGTTGCTTTTGTTTTTTTTTTTGTTTTGTTTTTGTTTTTGTTTTTCTTCTCAACACTGTAACTACATTTCAGCTCTGCAAGATTGCTCAAAGTCAGCAATCGAAAGCTCCAATCTGGTTTAAAGGGATGAATGTGAATTATGAACTAGCCCGTGACAATATATGACCACCAAGTACTACCTGACGGCAGGCACTTGTCACTTTGATGTTGGAGAAAGAGTTAAAGGCATATGCAGAATTGGCAGCAGAGAAACCGAGAAGAGACACCGAGGAAAAGACACTCGATTTTTGTCCAGTGTTTTTAGGGTGAACTCCTAAAGAATTTTGCGATTTGCACATCTTGAGTTTATAATCTGTGTGGTATTCCTGCAGTTTTTACCTAATAACATTGTGGGAAATGTTTGGGAGGGTTGAAAGAGCATAAATAAATGTAGCAAAATTACTTTCTAACCTGCCTAGACCCTAGGCCCTTTTTAGAAGGCTCTGTCCCTTTGAGATTTCATTTTTGTCACCTACCACATCTGTCACCAGAAGCCAGGTCTGAGAGTCTTCTTCAGAGTCATTGAGAGTTTTCCATATAGACATTTTACATATGTGAGCAAGTATTTTCATTTCTGGAAAAAAAAAGAGTGTTAATATTATTTTTTAGAAACTTAGGTTTCTATTTGAAATCAAACTAAAATCTAATGTTTGGTACAAAAACCCAGAAAGGGTATTTTCAAAAAGTCACGAGTTTTCATTCCCAGAGGTCAAAATATCATTTGTGGGTTCTGAGTATGTCTTAAAGTACTTTAAACCAAGTTTTATAAATAGGAAGAAGTTTTTTAAACATTCTTACTTGGCTGGCTGCAACTAACCTAAATAAGTACTTATTTGACTTTTCTTTTTAGCCATTTAAAAAAAAAAAAACAAGACTTCTTCCATTTCTCAAAATAGGAAAAAAAAAAAAAAGACCCTCCCCTGGCAACCCACATGCTGGCTATCCAGTCTCCGTTCACAGTGGCTTTGGTTGGGACTAATGATCCATTTACAGACCGTTTTCTGGGATGTACCAAAAACCTTTGATTAGGTCCAGAATAGCTAGCCTCTTTCTAAACTTCATCACCCTCTCCACACGCTAGCAGAGCTGGGTGAACCCATTCTTGCAATCAGATGTTTATTTATTGCTGTGATTCTTTTAGTTTTTAATCTTTCTGTTCAGAGACCTTGCTTCTTCCCTATATCTGCTCAGGGCACTGGCACTTACTAGGTTTTTGTTTTTGTTTTTGTTGTCTTTGTTTTTTAACTTTCAGTGGTGAGAAGACTAGGAGGCTGCCACTGGTGCACTGTGTGCCGTTATCTACAACAGCCCCTGTGAGCTCAGAAAACACACACACACACACACACACACACACTGCTCTCTGGCAGACTCCGAGGACTGAACTGACTGTATCCACTAAGCCGACACTAAAATGGGTAAACACACGTGGCTCAGAGCAATAGGAATATCATAACTTTTGTGGTTCTATTTCAGGTATAGGAATTATACAAATCATTGGTTCTTCTGAAACATTTGTCACACCTTGTTCTCCGGCTCCCTTAGCATGTGCAATACTTTGTGTGCCAATAGTGTGCTATCTGGTTAAAGTTCCTTACCTTTTGGCTTTTTCCTTGTTCTGTGGGCTGACCTTTCTTCCCTGCGCTGGCCAGAGAAAAGCTGGAGGGATTGAGCCAGGAGAGGTGAGCCTCCTCGCTTTCCCCTTAAAAGCGATGCAGGGTACTAGGGTAGGCAGCCTATGGGAGCCTGTGTGTCTGTCACCAGGACACAGCGAGAACCAGCCAAGGAGACCTGAGGGAAGCACCTTGAAGGCCCATCACCGCACCCAGCAAAGGCCCTTCGCTCTGTACTGAAGCTGGAATGGAGTGAGGAGGCAAACTGGGTCCTAGGACACATTCTGCAGCAATGTGGTCTTCAGTGAACCCATTTTCAGTCTCTTCTGAGTCCTTGAGACTTTGATCCCTGCCTTTGACACAAGCAACTTATTGCATATGTGTGTGTTCTGAGTATGCTCCACCAATGGCTTTGGAGGGGACCACCTGGCAACCACACTCACCATTCCCTTGGGACAGCTTTCTCTTCAAATAGGACCTGCACACAGAGGCGGGAGCCACCTCTGATTTGCAGACATTGATGGGGCCCTCCAGGCTCCAGGAGCACCTGCGGTCAACTGCATAGGGAGCACAGTGACGGCAGTGCCCTCATTGGACAAGGATCAGCCACGGGCCTCTGTACCTGTCCACTTTGCAATAGTTACCAACAGTCGTCCTTCATTCTCTTCTTTCCTGCTTTCCATTTTAAAACAAAGTAACAGCAGGCCTTTTTGTGTTTACAACGGAACACAATCACCAAGAAATTAGTCAGGGCAAAAAGAAAACATAGTAATATTACTAATAAGAAATCAGCAAACAAGAACCTCTTTCTAGGGATTTCTAAATACACAAAGTGACTGTTCCTTAGACTGTTTAACTTTAGAATTATTTCAGTTTGTCTGGGCCACCTTGGGGTCAGCGGGATGGGGTGGGGATCAGGGGAGAGAAGGCCACGGATACCACTTACCTCAAATCTTTTTAAAAGTGGAAGTCCAAATTGCATTTAGGGGAGGGGGGGGGACTTGCAGGATAATCATCCATGTTGGTCACATTTTGCTTTTCTCGATTCATCCAACTCAGTTTGGGATGGCCTGATTTTTGTGGTGGTGGCAACAGAACGTCCTTAACTCTGAACCCTGACCTTGTATGTTTTCTGTTAGGTGAGCTTTTTGGGTTCCTCCCCGACCCCCTTACCCCATGAGGAAGTGGCAGTGTCCTTCCTTCTCCCTTGCAAGGAACCCTGCAGAACCTTCCACACGTCTTACTCAGGGATGGGGCTGGTGTGTGTGTGTGGAACACAGATGTGTTCAGCAACGGCACTTTGGACTGCTCTGGAGTAGGGTTGTACAATTTCAAGGAATGTTTGGATCTCCCCGCACCGTGTGGATTGCTCCTTAGCTACTGCACAGATTGCAATATATTCCTGCTGCACGTTCAAGACGAGCAGTAGCTCCTCGTAATCAGAAAAAAAAATCCACGCTTTGCACATAGTTTGATCTTTACTGAAATATGTTGCCAAAATATGTTTCTGTTCTAGCTTTGGATCTTTTCCTTTCTTTCCTTCTTTTTTTTTTTTTTCTTTTAAAGAAACAATTGACGATACCTTGTAACATCTGCGACTACTAAGGAAACCTATTTTGTAGATGCTTTTGAAGACACTAACACCTATTTCAGACTAGCGGGTGAGGAGGCAGAGCTCTTGGGATAGAAAGCCAGACTTTTTGAGTTGAGTTGGTTGGCATGGCAACTGTTTCCTGAGCCACAAGCCGCTCAACCAACTGGTCTGCTCTCTCCTGAAACCCTCTGAGCTCCCCATTTCCCAGTCACCCCCTTTGACTCCAGGGGAATACAGGGCCTCCAGTCTCCAGGGTCCAATCCAGTTTCTTTGGTGGTTGAGATGAAGGGCAAGAGAAACATACTTTGTTGTTTTAAAAGTGGAGCAAAGGTCTTTGCTTCCACGGTTGTGTTTTGAAGCCAGGATTTCCGAAATAGAGAATTTAAGGAAAAAAACAAGTAATAACTATAGAGAATCTACTTTTTTCTTTATAAAGCACATGCATATGACCTGTTGAGTTGGGTTGGTTTCCTCCTTTGTCCATGAACAGTGTTGTATTTCTGTTCCTAAGGCAACTCCAAACAGTTTGCACACCTCTACTCTGGAGCTGAGATTTCTTTCACATAGATGACCTCGCTTCAAATGTTACCTTACTGATAGGCTTTTTCTTGTAGCGCTATACCTTGTGGGAAGTTTTCTGTTTTGTTTCGGTTTTTTTTTCTTTAAAGTACACCCAATTTGAGCAGCCGGGGTGGGGGTTTGGGGAGGGTTGAGGCACTCACTTTGGGGGGGTACAGATAAATTTTTTTAAAAAAAATTGCACAAAAGAAAAATGAATGTTGAAATGATTCATTCAGTGTTTGAAAGAGATAGATCTGTTGAAACCATGAGTTTCATATTTTGTGTGTAATAAAAAAACAAAAACAAAAAAAAACAAACAAAAAAAACAAAACAGAGGAGGGGTTTGAAAGTTACATGTTTGGGGGTTTTATTTTTTTCCTGTATATAGCAATTTGTTGTCTTGATGATCAAATTTGTATGGTTATGGCCTGGAAGAATTATGATGTCAGAGGCTCTTCAACTATACCGTACCTATGCTTACTGTTCTGTTTTTGTTACACACGGCTCTTGTGTGAAGGATGGGAAACGCTGTATTCCGCTATTCGAGGATACTGTCCATTCCTAGGCCGAAAGTACTTCCCTAAGTTCCCTTCTTAAGCCATTGCAACTTTACTTTGGATGATGTCTGACATTTTCAGCACTTCCTGTTCCTCTAAACCCAAAGAATATAATCCTGAACATGAAGTGTTTCTAAAAGGGATCCTCCTTCCCAGTAGACAGGAAAAAAAAAGTTGAGCCTTTCGTCTGCCTCCCACCCCAGACCTCATTCACATGGGGGTAAAACATCCATTTTGGCTTAAATGCTTGGCTTTCGTTTTGATATTTCTCAAGCAGAGGCCAGACGAAATGTGGAGCAGTTTCTCAGAGTTACTAGTCCTGTTCAGCAGTTGAGCTGGGTGGTGCAAACCAGACAGCGTCGGGGCTTTGATACTTCAATTCCGGTTCACGTCCCTTCCCTTACTGTGCAAGTTCTTATGGCTTAGATTCACCCTGACAAAGGCAGAAGTGAGGTGGCTTCAGCTTTTCCCATCCCACCCCGACGCTTGTGTACAGGACCTTGACCCGTATTCACATGAAGTGGGTTTGGCCAATAGATACCATCTACATGATACCAGGCTCTAAGAACTTCCCCAACACTTTTTAACTGAAAGGAGTAAAGTCTTCCACTACAGATTACTTGGAGACTCCATCCACTCACGTCTTCTTGTTCCTTTGCTGTCTGGATGGCTAATCTGAAGGCCTGTGTGGGAAGCACTGTTTACAGTAACCCTTACCAAGATAACATACTGTCCCCCTAGACTACCGAGCTGAGGTGACACTGGCTTAGAACTGTTGGAGTGAAAGATCAGTTACTAAGAAGGTTGGTGCATAGGTTTTCTCCAGTTCTTACAGGAGCCCCCTACTCTGAAGTTATTCTCTAGTCCAAGGGTGGGATGAACTGTTGAGTCAATGAGACATAACCATGGCAACCCATCATCGTCCCATTCTGTGACTACCGCCCCCCTCCCCAACCCACACTGCTCAAGTGTAACCCCGGGTAGGTAGTGTCAGCTGAAAGGGGGTTGTGGATGAGTCCTGTCAGTATTTTTTGGTGGCCTTTCAATAAGACAGTCTGCATCTCTCTATAACCAGTAGAATCTTGGCCCTAAAGAACTTGAGATCTGCGCCAGTTGAAGGGTTTTAACAGCAGGTTCTCAAACCCTCTAATTTCCATTCGTTTGCCTCCCACAGGCCAAGCTGAAGCAGACACCAAAACTTGGGCTAAGGGTACTACCATGTGGAGAACTAGGGAAAACAATGTTCTTTTGCACCTTATTGAAAAGAAACTTTTAAGTGCATACATAGTTAAGAGCTTTTATCGTGACAGGAGAACGTTTCCGTATGCGTGCATACTCTCTGTAATTCCAGTGTAAAATGTTGTACTTGCACTAGCTTTTTTAAAACAAATATTAAGAAAAATGGAAGAATTCATATTCTATTTTCTAATCGTGGTGTGTCTATTTGTAGGACACACTCGAGTCTGTTTATTGAATTTTATGGTCCCTTTCTTTGATGGTGCTTGCAGGTTTTCTAGGTAGAAATTATTTCATTATTATAATAAAACAATGTTTGATTCAAAATTTGAACAAAATTGTTTTAAATAAATTGTCTGTATA